GGGGCCCATGATACTATAGTTAGAATTATAATCAGGAAGCCCCAGAAATAGTATTGGTAGTTATTTAGGCCCCTATTATTATAGACCCTAAACCTTCAGCCAGAGTGTTTGAAACCCAGGCTCCGAAGCCCTATGCTTAGGCCCTAGAGCCCGACAGCCGAAGCCCAATGGAATAGAAGGTCGGCTTTAAGAAAATCAAGGGTCAGAGTTGAGGTTATAGGGTTTAGGGTTTAGGAAACACCGGAAACACAACAAGAACACAGGAGACAGGACAAGGTAGGTGTGGGAGAACGCCCTGCGCCCTGAATCCCAAGATGCTCGCCCTGAGTTCGAACCGTCAACCCCTGAACTCCCTAATTCGCGAAACCCTTACACTCTACATCCAGAACACCAACAAGTCTCTAACATCCAGAACCCACGCCCTCCACCCCCTTCTCAAAAAACAAGCTGTGCAAGAGTCAAACCCTATAAGCCCTATAACAATTTTTACCTGTAGTCTCCATTGTAGTTCCTTTCTTTGGTTTAACCAATAACATATTAAGGATTCTATAAGGCATCCCCAAAACAGGAACTACAATGGAGACTATAGGTAAGGACTACGACCCGACTCAGCTTCGCACCAGAGGATGCTCCCATCCGGCCGCTTATCCAGGAAGGGCCTGGGTCTGATCCAGTTTAGGGTTTAGGGTTTGCCTTCGAGTCTCAGCTCGCGCGATGCTTTGCTCTAAGAGACGAGATGTTGGATCCCAAAGGGTCCAAGTTATAGTATAGTATATACTTTGGGGGCCCAAATACCTACAAAGTAGCTACCATATTAGTACCTGGACCCTAAACCCTAAACCCTAAACCCTAAGCCCTAAAACCCTAAACCCTAAAACCCTTTGGGGATATGCTCTAAGAGACGAGATCCCAAGGGCTCCAGTTACCTGAATAGTAGGTTACTGGGGTACATAATACAGGGTTAGGAACCTACTATTTAGGTAACGGGAGCCCTTGGGGATGTTGGATAGGGTCTAGAGTCAAGGGTGATTTAGCTTTAGGGGGTTGGGGTTTGTGTTCTGGATATGAGGTTTAGAAGCTTGAGGTTTCAGCAATCAACCGGGAACAATCCTGGCGAGGTCTCAAAGTACGTCGAGGAAGCTCTTTGGCCAATAGCTGGGAATTTAGGGTTTGCTTTTTGCGCGGGTGGCAGGTTTCTAGGCTTCTAAGTCTATTGGCTCATGCATAGCTGGGACCCCTTGGGAAGTCTTCGGTGAGTTGGTGGTTTTAAAGCTTCTACTGGAAGGATCAAAGATATCAGTAGATATGGATATACGTATCTCAAGAAGGGTTGCGCAAGATGTCTAGAGACCCACAAGAAGATACAGCTTGCTACCTCTCCTGATCCTCTGATCCTGCAAGGAGGAACTGGGGTTTTGGGAGTTCTGCCCAAAAAGAGGGGCGCCAGGTTCGGTGCATCACGGGGGTCGACGCCGAGAGGTTTTGAGAAGGGTCTCCTTGTAGCTGAGTTCCCTACCCAATGTTTTAGGGTTTAAAGTTTAGGGTTTAGGGTTCTTCAGTTACCTAAATAGTAGGTTAATAACCTTATATTATGTACCCCAGTAACCTACTATTTAGGTAACTGGAGCCCTAGGGCTAGAGATTATAAAGCGTTTAGGGTGCAGGTTGCGCAGTCAGCTACAAGGTCCGTCAGCATCAACTGTGGCACTTGCAGCAAGGTTCATTCGTTGAGGATGAGAGCACAGGGTGTAGGGCTGAGTTGTTGGCAATACCCGGCCCACAATAAACAAACAACTTTAGCAAAAAAAGAACATGGCAAAGAAACGCATACTGGCATGAACCGCACGTTAACGCTAACAGTTCAATAGCAGTTGCAACCAGACACAGCAGACGACTGCGATCGAGGCAAAAGAAAGACGACAGTTAACACCACACCATGTCATGGAGTCATGCGATTCGTACATTTACCATTGAAGGAACTGTCTTGTCCTTATCTGGTCCATCGTTGCGCGGCATAAAACTGAACTCCGGGCACCCGAGCAGAAGGGCTTGCCACTGCGCGACACTAAGAGGACGCGCGGCAGAGAACACCTGCGGCACACGCGGGTCCGATGCAGCGATGTCGCACTTAGTAGAAGAACGCTCCGACACAATGAACACTTGCAAGCCGCACATGCCGTTCGTGTTGTCATTTACGGTGTTTCCCGACGTCAGCATACAGAGAACCTTGTGCTTAGAGATATTCAGTGCTCGTGCTGTGTCTCCTCGTGTTGTTAGTGGCCGAAGGCACTATTATCTTGGATTCCTGGCTTTGTTGAACTATGTGCGTTTCTGCGTCGGGTTTATTTACGAAAGTCTCGCTTGGTGTGAGCATGCTCAAATGCGGCAGCATCGGTATTCGTGGTGGTTCGTACATGTTGCTTCTGTTCGAT